GTACGGGTATTTTATCCAGACCGGACTCTTTCTATAAAATAAACGGAAACAAAAATGGCGAATAATGAAGATGAGGATAGGTTTGATTTTGCTATTGATTTTGAAGACGTATGAGATACAAGCGGAAGCGATGTGTATTTTGTCTGTCAAATGAAATTTTTGTGCGTTGAAGGTGCATGCATAGAATTGGTTGATATATATATTTGAATCTTTCATTGTTGTATCGAGATACTTTTCTTTATTATTATGCTAAAGTATTATTGTTCCGTTGGATAAATTTAAAGTTGAAAGTATATCGAATTGAAAAATATTGTAAATATGTAATATATCATAATAATCCTAAAAGATTTCTATTTGATTTTTTTTAATATCGTCAAAATTATAAAATTGTCGATAAAAGTTATTAAATTTTTAGGAATTTAATTCAGTATACGACTTTATAGTAATTTTGAAGGAAAATTATCCGCATTATTTTCTTTAAAAAGATGACAAATTAACTTATGCACTTAAATGTAGATAATAATCATCTTAATGAGAAATGAAATAGACGAGTATAATAATGTAGAAACGTAGATAGAGTTTCTAATTATAAAATCTATAATGGTATAAAAAAAGGCTTGTTCAATGTCTGGCCGTAGGCAGACATCTTTAATAATGGAAAGGTTAATTACAAGAAAGAGTAGAGACATTATGCAAGATCATTTATTTTCTTTCCTCTTGGATACACTTATTTTACTCATTCAATGTATTAATAAAAAAAAGATAATGAGAGAAAGAGACAGAGAAAGGAAATGGAAGAATGTAGACAGTAAAATATTTGTGAAGAGAATAATGAATGCAACAAGGTTTGTTAGGCCACTCATTAAAACATTATTGAAGTTCGAGGAATGTTTATACGGAAAACTGCAATTATTCTTGTTCATGATGTTGATGGCAACGAGTAATTTTTAATTTTTTTTCTTCCTCTACCTTCAGTCCAGGCCATAATTACATTTTTTTTTTTAAAGCATATGATTGTTAAAGCAAGAAATTATTCATCGCAAGATTATTGCGTACGTGTCTAGACAGCAAGAATATACATTCCTTCGGGACAACTGAAGAGATTCTTAATCATAATTGATGTTCCTCGTCAGATGTATGAAGAGGCACTGATGAAGTCGATTGTGCAATATAAAATGAGACATGGAAACATTATTTCAAAAGAATAAATACATTGGAAGACACATGTAGCAATCATTGGATTTAATATTAAGTCTTGCCTAAGGTATAATCATTCATTTGCAAACATGGTAGAAAAAAGAATGGTAGAAGAAAATGATAGAAGAGGAAACAATCGATTTCTAGAATATTCTACACATTTCTACAAATGGCAAGAAATTACGGTTTTTATTTTAGAGTTAAAAAAAAAAAAAATAAACTTTTAAGTAGAAAATTTTAAGCAACAGCTAAGTAGAAAATAGAAGTGAACGTAAGAGGTTAACAGCCATGTCAGATAATGAATTACATATGTTAAAAAGATACTACACGATGATATAAATATTATGTAAAAATAAAACAGTTGAAAATTGCAACATGATATAATGTATTGAGATAAACTCTTAATTACATTAATATAAGTTGGTAAGTAGTTATGAAGGACGTTTTTATTCGTTCACAGAAGTTCACAGTCGATATAATTCATGCACAATAATATTTCTGTTACTTTGTAAATTGTTTATAATATCAATGTTATTATTTCTTTTTAGCTTAATTATATCATTATTTTCTTGTATTAATAAATATTTTTTTCTTCTCTTAAGAATATGATTCATGCTTGACTAATTTTACTGATTTAATATACTGTTGATGATACCTACGCAAGATAATGTATTGCAATAATAAATAAAAGAATTAAACATTCATTAGTAATTGTTAATTGTTATTAAAAAATTAATAACAGAGATAGACAATATCACTTTCAATTTTGAGTAGAGTGAAAAATATTATTTTGAATCTTTTTCTTTAAGATCCATAAATAAATTTGTACAGATATATTAAAAAATATAATTTTCATTTTTCATATTCTACACATCGTTATTAAACAATTAATGCAAAATGAATTGGAATCGTCAGAATTTAATTATTTTTAAAACGAAATAAATAAATAAAAAAGAATTTTAAGTAATTTTCTTAATTCAGAAAAATTCTTTTTTTTTCTTACAATGATATACTACCTATATCAAATTTAGCGGGATGAGAAACATAACGCGATCATTTTTCAAAACAGAAGGAAAAAAACGAATGCATCATTATTAAAAATCTCTCGTGTTCAAGGAACCAGCATGTACCATTAATCAAAACGACAGTTGATATTTCATATTTGGCCACGCTTGAAAATATTTGATTCACATGTTTCTGTATATCTTTGGTAAACAAGAAGCGCGAAATCGATAATGGAGCTGAATGTTGTGCGCTTGCGCATTCGATCTTTGAGAGAAGGAGAAAAAGAATAAGGAAGAGAAGAAGAAGAAAAATATTTCAAAGAAGAAAAACAAGAAGAGATTCTTGAAAGAGATTCTTGAAAAAGAACGAGAAGAAGATTTTGAAGAATAAGAGAGAGAGAGAGAGAGAGAGAAAGAAAATAAAAGAAGATCCTGTCAGAATCCATCAGACCTTTAAAAAAGGAAGAAGAAGAAGGGTCAAAGAGGATCTTGACTGAGAAAAAGAAGATACAGAGCGAGAAGATTTTGAAGTATAAGAAGATGATGAGCAAGACAACTAAGAAAGAAGATTGTGCAGAAAAAGAAAAGAAAGAAAGATGAAAAGAAGTTCTCCAAGAATAAGAACGAGTATAAGAAGAAAAAGATTTTGAAGAGTCATAAAGAACGAGATCCGCTTGTCCATCTCTGGGACGAGAAAAGAGGATTGAAAAAAAAAAAAAAAATGAAAAAACTGTAGATCGAGCTACGAAACAGA